AACTTCTATCAAACAATCTTATGCTACACAGCACAACATTAGTGCAAATAGACAAAAAGAAGTAAATGTTTACAATAAATTCCTGAATAGATATTTAATACTGGAAGAAAGTATTTCAAAATCTCAGAAACCATGTATCAAGAGAATAGCCCCACAGGCCAATATTTCACTTGGTGAGACATCAAACTAAAAAAGAAAGCTGTTGAGCAACTATATCAGCTGACCCAGAACTCATTAAATTACTTTCCTCATTTTTGCTAATCAATCAGATCCCAGTTATTATTTTCGCTAAAATTATATAAAGGAGATTACAGATAGTGCAATAAGTGTTAATAGCACTCATGAAAATATCAGCAAAACACACTATGCTTCTCAGGAATTGCTAAGAAATACACCATAAATAGAGTTCCAAATTCCACGGCAAACTAAGACCAAAAATACTTTTAGCATTACTTTGACAATACTTTATAGCATTTCCAAATTTAACAGAGTCTTGTAATCCGAAAAAAATCCAGTACTTACCAAAATAAAATTGCTGCTCTTTTTCAGCGTCGATTTTTCCCTCTGCTTCCAATGGTGAAAAAAAAGCCGCGGTATCATCCTAAAAATAAGTAACAACGACATATTTCGCATCCTCAGTTTGAATTAATATGCGTAATAATGTTATCCTTATTACTGAATTAACTTCAAATTATAAATAATGAATACCAAATAAAATGCACCATATAATTTTTAAATATTTGAGCTCAAATTTGTCACTGTGAAAATTAAGCTATAATCATATTTAGCTAAATACAACATGAAACACGTCTATACTTTCCATCTGTCGAATCAGGCACTCAAACTTGACCGAAATTTCCTGCAAAAAGCAAAGTTCTACTATAGGATCGTAAAAAAAATCCAAAAATTATTAAAAAACGATACATTTTTCAGTAAACGATTTCGGCCCTGAAGGTGATTAATACCAATGCGTTCTTCGACGATGTTCCAAATACCACCCAGACCCGTATCATGTTTACGTTTTAGATGAAATTTTAGCGTCGTTGGACTACGATCGTTTGTTATCCAGTCACAATAACGACATCGAACACCACTCAGTCCTTTAGTCTTCAGATCGACGAAAAAATTCCAAACCTTAAAAGACAGATAAATATAAACGATTGAAAACCGCTGATGTTTGTTGTGTTGATAAACCACTGCAAGCAATTGCAATGTTTTAGAAAAAAGCGAGCAGTGGGCTCATGTTTGAGTGCAGACTGAGGTTTGCAATTTTGTTGAACTGGTTCAATCTTTCGCATAACGGAATGAAAATTATTCACTATTTGAGTAAAATATTTTCTGACGTAATTAAAATTTTGTTAATTTTTAGAATATAACTGACTGGATTTGTTTTTTTTCGACCAGCATTTTTGGCATTGTACTGGGAAGGCACTATTGGTGGAGCAATAGTGATAGTTGGCCATGTGCTTACTTTGCTATTAGAAACTATCGAAGGCATTTACGTAAATGAATCACCTCAGGCAATTTAAGAACGTCCGAAATCTTTAGTTTCTAAAAGTTTTAAAATGTTGTTATTGCCGTCAATGCTTTATATATTAAAAAATGAAATAAAACTTACTTTTGAGCACAAAATGAAGTGAAATAATTAAGTTTGAAGAAAATTGAATTGTTTCGATTTTTGATGCTAAAAAATGCAAAACAGCAGATAGAAAGCGTAAATACTAATAACGATAGTGCAGAACCATCAATAGTTACATAAATAGATTTTCACTGCAGTATATAGCAACTAGCGCACTGAATCTATTCTTTTCATGAGCAGAAGTAATGCTACGCAGAGAAGAACAATTACACCCTTCAATCAAAATATAATACTGAACAAATGTGTAAGCACTTGGAGAATATATCAATTCAAAAAATATGCATCACGCGCCACGTGCATTTTTCCTCGTTTTCTTTTCTACTACATATCATCTTGAAACACATAAGTAATCAAGTAAGAAAGCAACAAAACTTCCTTACATACTTATAAGTATATAAAAAATGCGCCTAAATCATAGTAAGCAAACTTTCTTAAGCAAAATTTTGAATTTAATGAAAAAAACTAGGAAAAACGCGCTAACACAAATCTCTTGGCGTCATGTTTTCAGTAGCAATAAGATGAACAAACGTAAGGTGCGATGAGCACGCTTAAAGCGAGAAGAAATGACTAAATGAGCTGCCGAATATTATTATCGATGATAGACTCAGGTAAAACACGATGAGAACTGACTGCTGCGAATAATTCATTTATTGAAATGAAACTACGCGCAGTCAGAAAAGATTCTTAGCGTCTTTTTTTTAATTTTATAAATTTGCGCGTACTTTTACTCTCGCAATGTATCAATATTAATGTATAGATATGTACGAGTTACTTAAGGAATACATTTAGATCATTTAGATACATGACATCTTTATGATTTGCGCTTATCATTTAATTAGTTTTGACAATTTCTTAAATAAAAAAAAGTATTCTGACAAATGACAGATAAGATGGCAAAGCATCTATAGATTATAAATAATTTAATAATACGTTTAAAAGTGAAATATAAACTGACGAGAAGACGGATGCGTAACTAAGTATAGATAATTTAATAATACGTTTAAAAGTGAAATATAAACTGACGAGAAGACGGATGCGTAACTAAGACATCTTATTTCAATCAATCAATAGTTCTGCAAATAAATGGCTGAAGTTACACAATAAGTATCCAGTTAAATATCATGTGCAGTATGTCGGAGGTTAATTTTCCTTTTTGTCTTCTTGATTCTGGCGTCGGACCGTGTTCCGGTACTCTCGCTGCACTCGACCAGCAATCCCTTCTGCTGTTTCCGGTACACTGGTTGAGTGATTTTTCTTCAACAACCTCAGCTTTTTTCCATTTGTCTTATTTATGATTCCAGGCTCGACTTTTTTTCGTCTCTCCTCTTCTTCGTGCTTTTGCGATCGCCTGATAGCTCACCTGCTCGGCAACTTGGCAGAGCCGAGCAATATATATATATATATAGCGACCGGACATCCTGGTACGATAAGAAGCGTCACGAAGTATTCCTGATCGAGGTTGGCATCACTGGTAAGGACAGGTTGATAGCAGTTGAGATCGAGAAGAAGCGAAAGTATGATTCACTGGTTGATAAACTCGGGGCAGAGATGAAATGCAGGACGAAAATAATTCCGTATGTGATGACTTGGGATGAGCTAGTGACCAACTTCCACAATCATCACGCGAAGGAAATCAGTGTGCCTGATCACGCTAAGATATATATCCAATTGATAGTACTCAAGGAAACACTTGAAAGCATCTCATTCGATCGGCGCTGTGAATTCGAAGAGAAAGAAGCAGCGGAGATCAGTACAGTAGGACTGAGCGTGGAGCAAATGCAGCGAAAATGCCAGAATGTGATCTAGCGCCAGAATCAATAATGAATAGGAGAAGAATAACCTCCGTGTTGTATTGATTTGATTTATATACATGACAAGGATCTACAATTAAAGGAGAGTAAAGTGAAAAATATAGTTAAGAACTGGATTAGAGATGAAAGTATACCTCTTACCGTCATCGTCCCTCTTAGAAACCAACTTATCTTTTCCAGTCATTGCACCTATTCATTGATGATCTTTCAGTTATGAATCTATTTTGACATCTGCCGCATCATTCTCTCAACGTAGTCCATTACCAAGTTTTTCCTACATTTGACAACCGTTCTAAATTCAAGCTCTATCTTGCAAAATAACTTGTAAACAGAAACATATCAGTGCATCTAAGGATTGCTCAAGAAGAACTTTGAATGCACTTGTCTTTATTATGGTAAAATTAACATTATAACGAAAACACTACATTATCCTCTAACTTCTTGGAAACAATTCAAAACTAAACGTCACGTACTTTTATCAAAATACGTGAACAGTATTTTCAGAAATGAGGATTGATAAGTCTCAAGTATAAAAATGATTGCACAAATCTAGGTGATCCTCTCTTCCTTAAATTCTATTCAATTTTATAAAGTTTTGAGTCAACAGATTAACAATCTAGCAATGTAAATATACTGAATAATCTGCAACTACAAGTAGTTTAGAATATAGTCACTACGTAACACACCTACTTCCCTAATGTCAACTCCCAGTCAAGAAGCAAAACAAACTGATCTTATCGTAATTTCTAGACAAAATACACTTCCTACAGTCCATCAATTGACAGAACAAGGCATACAGTACTACTCAACGCATGCAAATTCCATTCACCCATCCATCACAATTCCTAATCTGAACATTGAATGACTAGTGATCGACGTACAGATGCCTTGAACCAGGGTCAAATCAAGCAATTCCCCTAATCTGACCGAAACTTATCCACAAATTTGTTGAAACTTAAACAGAGCCAAAAAAATAGTTTCTGATAAACATGAAGAATGTGCGAAATTACGAACAAAAATCTTACCAAGCAACGGCAAAGAGATCCACTTTATTCACAAAAGCAATTACAGCAAAAAATACTAGAACACATGCAATAGAACTGGAACAAAAATACGTCATATTCATAAAGGAAAGGGCACAAATGTAAAAGTGAACAAATTTAAGTTTACAGAGAAGTAATCGTCGAGCTGATGACTAAAAAGAAACTCTTAAAAACCATCAGTAACAACAAATTCAAGAACTAATATTTACAATAAAACTGAGATATGTACTGTGAATACGAAAAAATGCTTTATGGTATAATAAAAGACAGTAATTTAGAGCAAATATCTTTTTCGTATACCGAAAATAAGGTAACAATGAATAGTATGAACGGTAGTCTGTGCATAAAAAACTGATTATGCAAATGGAATGAACATATTACTGCATTGAGTAACATTACTATATTCAGAGTCAACATGATGGATCAGTTTTACAAGTATCACAATATTATGGAATACAGTACACAACAATTAATGGTAACTTCACTACATTTTTCTAGTTCAGCTTATCTTTGTAATCAAAACAATTCAATTCAACGTTTATAACACAAACAATCCTGATTGATATGAATGTTAGATTTTTTAAAGCTGTTTCTCTCGCCTCGCCAGAAAGTTTCGAATAAAAAGTTAGTGAAAACGACTCACGAACTCTGTACTGAAGAATATTTGATACATAACTAAAGCAGTGACTTTGAAGCAACGGTAAGTTTCAACACGATAAATTAATGCACTGTTATCATGAATGGATGAAAAATTGAATATAATTTGAATTCTACATTGTAATTTTATAAGAAAAATTGCACATGCTGAAAGATATAACCAGTAACGGAATGATGAAAAATTTGGAAACAATTTTTGAAAAGAAAAATTTGCTGGCCAACAAATCTATGAATAACCAGTTGAACAAAATTCAAATAAAAGCAAACAATAATCAGTAGAACAAATTGGAATGTATGAAAATTCTAGTTCTTTCATCTATAATACTTATATTATCCATATGTATTAGACCTCCTCTTATTTTCATTTATTCATATGCGCATGTCAATTTCACATTATGTAGCATGGATACCTTCATGACTTCAAAATCATGTCACTTTCAAAAATCCGATTAATCTGCATGATAGCTTGATAATTCTCAAATAATGATATACTTTAGAAAGTTTGTTCAAATCAAAAAATTTAAATTTGAAAAATGCATACTAAGACCAAATTTTAAGGATTACAACAAATCGGATGAGAATACAAGAATACAAGACACTTAATACAACAAATCTCCTTTAAAAACAAATACTTTGCTAAAACTAACTTTCAAGCTGTGTCAACGAACACACTGAATTAAACGGGAATTTTTCGCACCTAACTTTGATTTAGAGCTCTTATCAACTTTGAAGCACCACCAAAGCCGAAGGCTTTCATCACTGGATGCACTCATTACATACTGACCACACGGTGATATTGTTAAACCCAGAATTCGTTCCGTATGGCCTTTCAAAGTCTAAACATTTAAGATCTTAGAAAAATTGTAAACAATGTGCATGTGGCACTGGTTTTTAATTATCACATTTAATTAACAACTGCAAAATGAATGAAAAAAGTGTAAATGCCTTTTAACCTTGACAATGATTGTAAACGAAAAACTCAATCTGCATATAAATTATGGTAATTATACCTTCAGACACTTCATGGATGGTAATTTCCATATTTTCAAATCATTAGTGGGATATCCATGAGCACTAATACATTCCTTATAGTTTGGCGTGAAAGCAAGCGCATTCACCTAAAAAAAACAAATTTCACACTCGCAATTTTACAAGATATTTCTTTCACAGAGAAAAGCTAGCTATGACCTGACTGCTTGTATCTTCACTACGACACAGAGTTCCACTAGCAAGATTCCAAAATTTGATTGTTCGATCGACAGTACCACCTCCTGTTGCTAGTGAATGTGCCTGATGGGGATTGAATGCTAGTGCCTTAACTGATGCAAGATGATCACTGAAGTTGTATAGTGGTAACTGAAATAATTAATTAGAATTATATATATCGTACCAAAAAATTAATTCTAGTGTATGTACATACATTAGAACTATTTTTAAAATTAAAGTCTCAGCCTATTTAAATGCAAAGTAAAATATAAGACTCAAAGATATTCACTTAAATCGACTGCAACACAATATTTTTCGAAAAAGAAGATAAACTTGTACCGGATCTTCAGCACTCAGCAGTGATGGATCCCAAATTTTAACCAAATTATCACCTCCTCCACTTGCTAAATACTGACCATCAGGACTCCAAACTAGACCACAAATTTCTTGCCTATGTCCAGAAAACGAGCTACAAGTTGATCACCGAATAAATCAAAATTCTCTCGAAATAACATAACCTCGATGAATTGTTAACGCAAATAATGCACTTTTACTAATGTAACATAACTAACTCTTAAATGGATGTTAACCAGTTTTCATATTGCACAATAAATAAATTGGAGCAATGAAGTCTAAAGATTTCTCAGACTCAATGAAATTGATTTTTAAATTCCTCTAATAAAGTCTTTACAGCAAGAATGCTTAAAAAGTCATCATATTATGCCGATTATAGGAAAAAATTTTCTGATGTCATCAGTTTGAAAACTTTGTGATCACTCAACGTGAGTTTGCCCACTGCTGCAACATATCATAATTTGATTCTACACCGACAGCAATAAACATACCATTAATGCACAAGAGTATGTTATATCACTAAGCTAATGTTTGCACTAATTTGTATCATTTAGCTTACCCTTTACACTAAATGACTTATCGTGATGCATTAATTTTTGTAGAAACTAAATTATAAGTATGAAACTCTCAAATACTCAAACCAAGATATGGCAGCAATACTACACGTTGTCAAACCTTTTACTCTATCATCACTTGACATCAGAAATATGTTATTATATACGTAAATGTACATAATTTACTGCATTGGTTTATTATTACAGATTAAAGAAAATCGTTAGTTATGGCAATAAATCAAGCATACCCGATTTGAAAATCTCGAACACGAACATCATGGTGGTATATTCGACCTGATCGACAGCCCCTAAAAACAGCTCTCATGAAAAAATTTGAGAATTATTGAGAAACATTTCCTACACATTAAAATACATAACTTTTAAATGTAACTGGACTGATCCTAAGCAGATTCAAGGTGACTTTCATGCGAATTCTGAATAAAAAACGGCAAGTGCTATACAACAAGATATTTTATAGAGATTTTGCTCTAGTTCATAGATTTTTTTATGTATTTTGAGCCAATGTTAATATAAATAGAAAATGAAGAAAAAATTAAGAAAGTAAAAGATGAAACCTACGCTGAGAGAACATGCTGACGCCAAGACAAACATCCTACTCGACTAATTTGGGTCTGCATTGTTCGCAACAATGAGTTTTCCTTTCCAGGATCAAATAACTGAAAAAATTTGGATTTTCCTTTTTAAATTTTTACATAATTGAAAACAGATATCGATGAAACATTTTTTTTTTGAAATCACAAAAAATATATATATACATATCCTGACAACGGCTGGTATCAATAGTCAAGAAAGGTTGACAGCAGTGGAGACCAGGAAAAAGCGAAAATATAATCCAGAATAAATGAAGAACAAACCTTGACATAACCATTCGAAAGACCAATCGCCAAAATCGAGCTTTGTTCTGCCCACTGAACAGATGTTATGTAACTTCCACTATCTTCTGGTAACTCAAAAAGTGTCTGAAAACAGGATTTGCATCCATAAATTGAAAGTAATTAAGTTATTGCTGTAAACTACGTGATCTAATTTTGGCAAGTAAATAAGTTCAATAATCAATCAAATTTAAGTATGCAAAATTACCGTAATTTCACCAGTAGAGGCATTCCACAAATACAAAGCATAAGTCAAGGCAACAGCGATTACATTATCGCAACTCCAATGTATTACATTCATATCTAAATCAAATTCCATTTAAAACTTTGTGTGAGTTAGTAAGTGGTATTAATTTAGAGTTTTCTAGTGTTGGTTTTGCTTGTTTATTTTTGGAGCATAGCAACAAATGTAAATAGAATGAAAATGAAATAACTATCAAATACGTGACATGTTAAGTATAAAAATTACACAATATCTAAAGGCGATAAAGATGCTGTAAACAGAGTGTCTCTGCAATTTGAAAGTGCAATTCGAAAATTTTCTAAGTCTTATTATAATGATCTTTAACACTGGATTTATGTTCCCGGCAACCTACTCTCTTAAATTTTTACTATTTTTAAAAAACTACAGCTTCTGATGCTACTGTACTGCAAGTAACTGATGTAAGAGCTAGTAAAATTGATGGGAGAAATAAGGTGAAGTCTAAGGTAAAAAAATCTAAATAATTTTGCAAATAAAAATATGGGAAAACTTCCGTCAGCCATAGCTTACAATAATCATCCATGAAATTGGGTGCATCCAAAATTCGTTCTGGGCTATTCGGTATAAAGCGTAATCCTTTGCTGACACTTCCAGATGGTTTAACAGCGCTTGATGTATACAGCACTTTTGGTTGAGTCATATAACCCAAAGGTGGAGGTGGTGCTTGTCCTTTTTTGTAACACAGTATCCTATCGTCAATACTGATATTCCCGCCATTTATTGACTGCGCTTCAAAATTTGAACACTAATTAGAAGTTTTTAGGCACTATGTTTCGGTATTATATACAATTTTTAGATATGATATTCAAATACATCTTCAATAATCAATTAGCTTCAGAAAACCAACACAAAATACTAAAATTACCACGCATGAGGTTCAAAAAATATGCTTTTTCAGCATGCGATGGACTTGTTGGTGCTGATGAGGACAAGCTTGGTTTCGAATTCTTCTGCAAATGACAAACCAGTAAATTTGGGTGTCAACCGAAACAAATAAGTTTCGAGCATTAAGATCTAAATAACATGTGAGACATAAATTACAATTTCAATGTGAATTACTGACGCAATATCGTTAGTCTGGTTTTTATGATTTCACTTTTAAAAAATGAGCAGTTTCATACAGTAAGCATTACTTATTTTTCAAACAATTTTAATACTAAAAAGAAAAAGCTCTTAAAAGTAATCTGGATGTTGACACGTCACAAACTTTTTTCTAAACAGCTTTCCTTAATACTTTATGAAGTATAAGAAGTATATAGTAAGCATTACATATTTTTCGAACAATTTTAATACTAACCGTGAGTTTTATCGAAAATATCTGATATCTACCGTGAGGATTATCGAAAATATCTGATGAGGAATGAAAAATAAAATTTCAATATAATACCGCAATGAAATAATCAAACCTCGAAATTCTGATGAACTAGACAATGATTTGCATATTCAAAATGTGTTTCGCTTCGATTCGGTATGAAACGATCACCACCACCAATACCGCTATAGTTAGCATTTCTAGACGGTGTAAGTTCTCGCTTTTTCAAGCCTCCTTTCGATCTATTAAACGAAATATTAAAATCCTGAGCTCCTAATGTCTGTGAGGAGTGCTGATTTTCTCTGAAAAAAAAATCGTATTTCCTTATAAATCAGCTCAAGTATTTCACTCTTCAGATATAAATGATTGATTAAAAAAAATAAAATATACTAAATAGAGCTCACTTACTTCTTGGCACTCTTTGGAGTTTTGCATGTAAGCAATTGTGAGTTTTCGTGGCGGTGTTGGCGTGGAGTTTTGTTAGTACAGTCCTTGTAATGCATGCCGTTAATTTTATTCAGTAGATCGCAATTAACTATATGTTAGCTGAAAATCAAAAAAAAAATGTATTCCGAACACAACGATTAAAACTACAAAACACCATAATATTGTCAGTTTTGACACTGGCAGTTTCTGAAGTAAAATGACTTTTTAACATTAGATGCAAATTAGCTTCACTCAGACTCATCACTACAAAATAGTACTTCTTGCAGTCATCTCAGTTACATAACATTATGAATACAAAATACTACAATACAAGAGTCTCGGCACCTCTCCGTAACATGAGTGTAACTAAAAACCTGATTAACATGGATGGCACCACACCAAAAACTTCGTGGTATTCCTATGTTTTAGTCTGTTTAATGGATAAAAGGAATAACATATAAAAATATCGCACGCCTGCTACAGACTAAAAATGACTTTCACACATACGACTGCCATACTAGATTGGCAATTCCAAATCCACAAAAAATATGCAACGCATTAAATTGCTGCACGACAAATGGTAAATAAATAGAAGCTGCCATATCAAAAATGTTTATTCTTCATAACAAAAAGTCCATTAGCACACAATCGCAACTAAAAGCAAATGTGACTTCATATGAAAATGAAGCTTAACCACCGGACTTTGTAAATCTCACTCAGCCATCAGCTGATTAGATTCTGAATAAATGAAATGGACCACCCAGTCAGTGAGACAAATTAAAAGTAAAATGAAAAGGATCAACTGAATCCATCTATTTATTCGCAACTAAATTCACTAAAGAATCAAGCAATATTTTACTTGAAACTGAAGGAGAATAATAAAAGATCTAAAATCCCTGATTCACTAAAATTTATTGTTTCGCTACTCTAAGTAATGATATATTATGCTTCTTTAATGATTAACAATGAACCAATTAATCTGCTTGTTTCAGATACCGGTAATTCAACTTTGTGTCTCAACTGCCTGAAGCATATTAAAAATTCTGATATCAGAAGTTTAACAAGGAATTCTATGAAATCACAGTAACCAGTAAAGAACTTAAATAAAAAACAAACCAGCATTTCAGTAAAACTACTTCTAAAACCATTACAAACCATGAGAATGCTCTCAATAAGTGACACTACTAAAGTTTTAGATTCGATAGATAGAGCACTGTTATAACCAATCAGTCTACCACTTAAAGAATGAAAAATATTAGTAATGCACGGTTACTTATTACTCTTAATATCAAAAAAATAATACTATATAGTTAAACTTATTACTTAACGTATTTAAAAACGAATACGTTACTGCACGTAACAAAATTGCTATGAAGAGTTTGCATCAGATTATTTAGTTAACAACGATTGAGCAAGATATGAACTGAAGTTAGAAATATTTTTATTAGTCCACTTCCATTTCATCATCATCCGTGCGGCCTCCTCCGCTCTCACTATCATCCATTCTATTATCACTACCTTCTTCAGGACCGTCTCTATTACTTTCCTCTGAAAACTTTGTGCATTGCAAATGATATCATTCTCGGATCAAGAATATATATATACATTAATTCGGAAATTCAAAGATTTAATTGAAAGAAAAGCGTGCTCGTGACAGTGAGACATTCTTACCCGATGATATTTCACTTCCCCCAGAACCGAATTCATCATCATTCCACCATTCTTCCATGTCCTCAATGCTCTCTTCATCAATTTGGCCATCTGTTTCACCTGATGTTTCTGACAATATGTCACCATCATCTAAAAAACTTTGTGGAACGACAATATTTAAAAAAAACTGTTGAAAATAAGCGAGATATGATGAAATACGATAATATCAAGTGATTCACTACTAAAATTCTAGGTCTGATAGATTTTCAAAAATGGCACTAATCAAAATATTATTCAGAAATAATTCTTAGAAAACCTTCGAAAGAAATAGAAGGCTGCTGGGTAATGAACATTTGTGGACACATGCGACGATCGATTTGTTCGTTGATTAATGAAAGTTTACCATTAACTTGTAGAAGATCATTCATTCTGGATGCTCTTTTACTTATCCAATCAAAAAGAGACGACAAATCTTCTTTTAATGTACTGATCTGAAATTGTTTTATTTTGCAGGTAAATTTAATTATTTTGAAAGCTGATAAAAAGGATATACAGCAAAATTTGTCGAATAGAAATGATATTAAAAAACCCTGATAAGTAAAAAAGACCAGTGATTTGCTTTATTTGACATGGCAATGCTTCTAAGCAATATTTCTCGTTAAACATATACTGTTAGATAACTTACCGTACACAAATATGCCATGTGCTTAGATAAAATACACTGCAACCACTGCATCCAACAAGCACTGAAAAGACATTTAATAAGTACTTGAGCACTGTGATGCACAGAAGCATAATGCTTAGTACAACATAAAGGGCGTTAATTAGGAAGCTGAAACATACTCGAAATACCGGCGATTTCTACAACGATATTCAATTTCCTTGAGTAATGGTATAATGAAGGTGGCTGGTAAGTCATTTAATGTAGCTAAAATTGTTTGTGAACTTGCTTTTTTTAGCACCGAATCAACTTTCTCAGCATCGCTGCTAGTTAAGCCTTGACTCAGTAAAACCGCCATACTTTCACCACTTGTACTCATTAAATTTAAATCCTGAAAAGCAATAAGACATTTATTTCTAAATAAGAAATAACTCGAGAAAACTGAATAACAAGAGATAATTCCTGTTTTATTATGCAAAAAATTGCAGAATTACGAACACAGAAAATTCAAGTTCATGTGAATACTTAATTTCCATTTTACTGATTGTTGAAATATGCTTTACAAGTATTTTAACAGAGAACTTTTTATGAAAATAGAACTATGTTTAATAGAAATTAAAATTTCTAAATTAGAAACCAATTTAATACTGCAGTCATTATAAACTATCTTTCTAATTACAAAGTAACAAGCAGCAAACCTCAGTAGTATTTTCAGTGCATGTGTCTGATGTGCTTGCTTTTTCATTCATACCCACACTTCGATTATTGCTGAAAGCAAATGTTTCGCTACCACTTTTCGACTTTTCATGACTATTGCTGAAAACGAACTTTTGTATAGCAATAGCAAATACGCCTCAATATTAGAAAAATCCAGGCTTTCATGCCAGTTTTTGGTAGAAGTTATCAACCTTCATAAAGGAACCGAAACATGTGCATGTCTTACTATAACATATTCTTTCCGAGTATTCATGAAAATGACATAAAACCGAAATGGTTTATTTAATCACTATTGACAGACTAAAAAAAATTTACAAATGTAATAAGACGCCATAAAGAAACCTCAATATTTTCAATTTGTTTCTATAATATTAGCGTGAAGCTTTTCGTACGGCAATGGTAGAAATAAAAATTAATTTATGACAAAATGTCTCATTCACCTTTCTTCAGCCATTTTTCGCCTTTCCTTGAGGGGTATATCTTTCAGACTTATTGCCGATGATCTTTTCACACTTAATTTACAATTGCCCTGCAATACAATATTATTAGCAAAAAAACTCTTCAAAAGTTACAACGTTGACATGTACCATCATTTGTTAAAACAGCACCAGATCAAATTTTACAAGGATTGTTACTGAATGCATAAAAAAATATTAGGTGATCATTAATTTTACTAGAGATGAAAAATGAAGAGAAAAACATCGCACTTTTTTTTTATTATTATCCGTAATGGTTTCTGCGTCATTACTGTGATTAGCTATGCCAGAATCATCTAATTTCATCGATTTGTTGTTAGCTATATCACCATTGCAACGAAGCCTTGTTTCTTTGGCTTCCGATAAACGTTGACTTCGCCTTATCATTTAGAAACCCAGTGTTGTTTTAGTCTATGCTTGGGACAAACCAATAACTACAATTATTGCAACACATAAGGCTTCAAACAAAAATGCTTCGAGTAGTTTCCTCCAAACGAATAATTAAGAACGACTTTAAAGAATATATAAGTTAAGTAAAATTATAGATATCACACCGTACATATGTGCTGAGTTTAATTTGATTTAAACACTACGACTCTAAACATGAATCCGTTAAAATTAACTAATTAAAAGGTGAGCCACCTATTACTGCACGACTCGTAACAATTACCAATTGTGATATCACGTTTATGACCTCGTCAACTTAATCCACCACTTGTTAATACTATATCTTACCTAAAAGTGCATCAAGTAGTCTATCCTCCATATAATTACACTACGTATACACCTGCAAATCTATAGAAATAGAACACAAATCAAAGGCTACACAAAAATCCAAAAACGTTACTTCAGTTATTAGGCTGAAACAAACAATCGTTATAAGACCCAACGATTCAAAATTTGGATTGGTAATAATCCAATTTTGTCGTTATGAAAGTTTGAATTTCTGCTTAGTAGCAGTAGCAGTCATCTTCAATGAATTTGAAAGGATTCGCGATGCATATTTAAGAAAGTAAATATAAGTGCTTGAATTTTCAGACTACCTTCTTCGGCTACAGCATTACTGTTCTAATCATTGATTTCAGTGTTGTCATTCGATTCGAAATGCAGTGAGTTTGTGTTCAGTAATTAAAATGTGAGACATGAAAAAGTGATGAAAAGACTTTAATGTTAAGCTTTTGTAAATAACAAATATCTGTAAATAATTTTTTTCAGAATGTGATTGAGTCAATGACATTGATGATAATGATAATGATAATGATAATGATAATGA